ACATATAATAGTGGAAGCAGTAAAATATAGATATATATTATGATATAATATAAAAAAGTAAAATATAACACTATGTAATCAGGAGTTGCAGTAATGTAGTATACATAATGTTACAAACGATAAGATTGGGAGATTGATGCATTTAAATATATATAGTATGATGGCTGTGATGGACAAACAGCTTATAACCAGCCAGTCAAATACATTTATATATAATGTGTACAGATATAATATGCAGGAATATATATATATATATATATATATATATGCTCAAATGTAAACAGTAAGTAACCAGGTAAGTAAGGCGGAACCAGTACAGTAGAATATGTATGTACAGTACTAATAAGTACAGTATGACAATAGTATAAACTAGGAAAGTGTGACATCAGTGTATCATTGCAGAGTGAGTAAAGTGTTGTTAAATCAGCGACTTACAAATAAAGCACAGCATTATCACAACACACTATCTTTTCACTGCATCCTACAGTTTCCTCATGCAGGACTAACCAGGCAAAAACCAAGCAGACTTAATCTTTTCAAAGAAATTGTGGGGACTGTGAGGCAGACATGCAGGCGGCATATCTTTGTTTTAGTCACTGACACTGAACCACAGGCTGTTTTACATGAAGAGGTCAGGAAGTCACTGAGCTCTGTGCACTAACTCTTTCTGTTTATGTGTCACACATACACACATTCATATACACAGAAATACTGCCATAATATACAGTAAATGGCTTACTTTGCAAAACAAAACACTTGCAAAAACAACATGTCCTATATGTTATATATATACACGCACACACACCTACTGTATTCAAACATCATCAAAAACTTTATTTTTCTTTGTATATATTGTATCCAGATTTTACAGTTATCACAGCAACCCAATATATTTCCAACAAATACATTTAAATATCAAAATATGTTTCTGTATGTACAGTGCTTTTGATGGAGTGATTGCTTTGACATGAGTGGTGTAGTTCTCACCCTCTGAGGGAGCATAGTTTTTATTCAAACAGAACAGATAAGAGTGTTAATGTCTCTGAATGCAGCGGGGCAGGTTCTGTCTTTTGTCTTGCATATTACTAAATATACCAGACAGGCTTCTGTGTTGACTTCTCTCCTCTCCTAAACTACTCCCCACCTCGCATTCTCTTTGTTTGACTGTTAAATGACTTACTGTGTAGGGGTGTATAGGAGGCTTCTACACCCTCGGAAAAAATTATGATGACACTGGATATTTTCTGACTGCAGGGCTTATTGATGATGAGCTTTTTGTATTCTTTCAGTCTTTTTGTGAGTTTTTGTTGCGCTCTGTAAGTGTTTTTCTTCCTTTGGACTTTTTGATAAAAAAGGCTCATTCATTCATTTCAATAAAACTCTACATTCAAGGGCACAAAAAGAACTTCACCCACTCTCTGTGCAGTAACCTGATCCCCAGCCTTTGCTTCAGCCCATTTTGGACCGAATTGTTCCTGCGGTGAGGAAATATGAATGTGTTTCATTAGTTTTGCAACTTTGTCCCCGAAGGAACGATTTCACATCTCTTGTATGACCTGTTGGTTTCACCTCTTTTTCCTGAACCGCTGCTTTCAGACTCTCCTCCTCCCTCTCTTGAAGTTAACATTTCAGTAATCGAAATTTTGTTTAATGATGCTGCTTTTTTCCCCCCCTGTCTCAGTCAGTGTCTTTGCCCGTTCAAAGATACTTAAAAGATTTCACACGGAAAGGTTAATGCTTACGTACACACACAGCGTCAGTCCGTCTCGTCAGTATGGTAGCTTGCCAGACCTGCCTTCCAATTTGCCGTTGGCCTTCTGTTATTATGTCATGAATGAGGCAATAGCTCATAGAAAGTACTCCTACACGATGTACTCTTACCTGGAAGACAAGTTCTGACATGTGGAAATCTGAGAACTGCCAGGACACACGCACGTGCTTCACACACACACACACACACACAAACACAACACACACTGCATTTACCTTACTAATCATCTGTCACCTTTTATAATGTCTGACAGGGTGTTTGCCTACACAGCACTCACAGATACAAACTTGTTGGTGGCAGGAGATTTTGTACTACAGTGTTTCCGTGAACACTCTCAGAAGAGAAGTTACAGTACAAACTTGTTTTCACGACATGATTTAAGCACCATGGTTTAACTGCCCAGCTGCAGCCACCTTCCTTTTTCTCTTAGTTGTATTGAAAAGTCTGCAGAGTACAGCGCATGGATTTCCTAAGATAAGGGGTTTTTGTTGAAGACTCTAGGGTGCAGTTTGGTTTCTTGAAGTGGTCTGGGGACTCGCTCTCTGTCACCCCTTTCACTTTATCTCTCTTACTCATCATCTCAAGAGCTCTCTCTCCCACTAAATTTCTGTCTCCATATGATGACTGCCAACCAGGACACAAGTCGCTCGAATGGTCCATCTATTTTAGGTTTAGATCAGCTGGCAACTGGCCAACAAACGGAAAAATAACCAGGTTTCCCTGGTTATTAATAGTCAGCATTTTCCCCTGCAGCAGCTGTCAAGACAGTGGAAGCTACAGCCTGTGGACACACACACACACATACACACTCCTTTCCCTCTTGCTTTTTCTGAAACAATGTCACAGTCGGTGTGAATTTTAAGTGGATCCCCCGCTGATTTTTGTTGCCACAGTCCAAACAAGCAAAAAGGAAACAATAAGTAGTTGAGAAAGGAGGATGTTTGCTCCACGGGGATGTTTTGCCAAGTAATTTGGAGCCATTTCAAGCCATTTCTATACCTGGTGCTACTGTGCCAGCAGAGTATTGCTATTTTAGTTTTGTCCTGTTGCATAATTCATCACATTCTTTGTTACAGTTTTTCCAAATCAGGGACTCAAGGTTGATTAGAGGAGGGTTATTTTGAGATTCGATGTTGGTTACAAAAGGTTGTTTGGCAGGACAGGTGGTTCAGTGCACAGACCTTTTACTCTATTGATTATTTATAAACAGTTGCTAGTTTATCTTTTCCTTTTTAGACTGTCTTTAGTTTAAATCAAGGTCTGAATTCAAGAATGACTATCCCCTTCTTTAGGAAAGAGAAAAAATGTGGGAAAACAAAATAGTTTTCCTATATAGTAGTGATATTAAGAAAGACACATTGATCATCACATTGATTGTTGGTATTGGACTTTTAATTTGTTGACAAGAACAAAAATATAGAATATCTTCAGCCTTACCCTTTAATATTTCAACCTGAATTCTATGTAGCCTTCATTTTAAGAATATCAGTATCATCAATATATAAACTCTTTCTTGTAATAGATTGAAACATGTTCTAACACTTTTATCAGTCTATCTGTAGTTGAGAAAAGCCACATTAACAATTCAATACATCACATAAACAAGATATTCTACTCATTTCTGAATCACCAAACAGCCTTGTACAAACTGATTATGTAGCATTGTTTGTAGTTTGCTTTGTGTGGACTGTAGTAACCTCTGATTACTGAACTTTGACCATCTCAGCAGACTTCTCTCCTCTAATGTCTGATCTGAGTTAGGTATTTGAATGTCCGAAGAGCCTTCATTCATTTGTATCAACAAAGAGTAGAATACAGTTGTATGCAAAAGTTTGGGCACCTGTTACATATTTTGAATATTTTTTAGTTGAAAAGATGTAAACACAGCCTTTCTAGGACATAAACACAATATTTTCAGCAGAGATTAATTCATAGGTTAAATTTGATGTCATAAAATAAATAAACAGCATTGTGGTATGTGCACCTTAAGAGTTCTGCAGACTCTGATCTTCTTCTCAGTCTCACATCTTCACCAGCTCCTTAGGCCTGAAGCACGTTAACAGTTGTCATTAGGAAATGTCAGCTGATGCCAGTTTCAAAGCTTTACATATATGTGTATATCTTCAAACGTGTGAACACTCACCAACCATAGGTTCCTCTAAGGAGCTGTGTAAGACTGAAAATGAAAGTTATTCATGCCCGCTAATGGAGAAGCTACACGAAGACAGCAAAGCATTGTCAGCTTGCAGTTTCCACAGTGTGAAATGTAATTTAGAGATGGCAGTTTATCTGAACTGTGGTGGTTAAGGGGTTACTAAGTACTGACAATGTAGGGTGCCCAAACTTTTTCACACACCACAGTGGTGGTTTGGTTTTTTATATTTTTGTTCAATTTATGATATAAAATGTAACTATGCATTCATGTTTGCTAAAAATATTGTAATAATGGTCCATGTCATACATCTTTTTCTCTTGTTTACATCTTTTCAGTTAAAAAATCAACGAAAAATGGGATTTGTCATGGGGTGCCCAAATTATATCTAGACAGAGCTGTGTGGTAGAAATCTGTCGAGACTCTGGCGTTAATTGAGCAAATTTCCCACAAAGTAGCGAGTCTGAAAGTTTATTGGGATCTTAATTAACAATCCCTAAAACATTTCAACACTCAGAAGGTGCAGCCCGTTCTACTCCAAAAGCTAGAATCTTACATCCTTGGCCCCAGACAGACAACAGTCCCTGCTCCCTGTGTGCTTTAGTTGGGCAATCACACAGTGAGCCACCCAAACAGCAACAGAGGAAGACGGTGTTTTGAGCAGAAGAGACGTTCCTCAGTGCCAGAGTTCGCCTTGTACTCCCTGTGACACAATCTGCCTCCCTGTTTACCAGATAACAGACACACTGCAGGAATGAGCTGGGGGACCAGGGGTACTCACCATGGATTGTTTATGTTTTGGGGTATTCTGAACGGACATATTTAATCATTAACACTAAGTACAATGTAGCATGTGGACTTGTCCGTGTATATTTTCATCTTTCTTTCTCCCTTCCTCTCTTTCTCTTCTCATTTTTAATCTCATCCTCCCTTTTCTTTCTCTGTCCCTCCAACTTCTCCTCTACCTCCCCTCCTCTCTCCGGTTCCTCTAGTGGTGTTTTCTTTTAACAAGGCCACATATAGTCAACAGAGGATATTGCATCAGCTGTCTCACCACTGCTTCATCTCTCTCCACAGTAGACATGGTGGACACCCAGCAGCTCCTAGCCTGGCCTGTCGGTTTTAGTCTGAACGCCGTGGACTTGTCAGAGCTGGACGACAGCTCCCACTCCCTCGACATGAAGCATTTGTCCACGTTGGACTACGCCTCCATCTCCTCCTCCTCCATCCCGTCCTCCTTGTCTCCCTCGCTTGTATCCTGCATCTCCCCTGCCGGTGTGGCCTATGACCCCAGCCCAACGCAGAGCGAAGAACACCTGACCAACATGGACTACACAAACATGCACAGCTACAGGACGGAGCAGGACATGCACAGTAAGTCCAGTCTGTGTAATGTGTTAAGCAGAGCTAAAATATGTTATCTAGTTTCTTTACACCAGTTATTTGCGCACCAAGCTTTGCAGCTAAATTCACTTGCAGGGGGGTAGACACAGAATCATACAACTTGTTTGAAGTGGCTCAAGTCATAAAAGCATAAAAGATTGATTCTACCTGGCACGCCTGCATTTCATTGTAGCTGTGACACCAGCCACAGCCACCAGAGCTGACCGTGTCTGTTGTAGACTATGCTAGTGATTCCACCAGACGCGTCCCAGTTCTCCACTCTGCTCTGCTCAAAATGCACATAGTTTATTTTTGACAGAAGCCACATCAAGGTGCACTGAGCAGATGAAGACGGGCAGAAAGTCAAATCCAGAATGGCATGGAGCATCCGGTTCATTTTTCAAAATGAAACCCCCTGTGCAGACTAAATAACAATAAGATAAAATAACTTATTTGTATAGCACTTTATTAAAAACAATGTTTGCAAAGTGCTTTACATACATGCACTCAAAAACAGCAGCAGTAAAGAATATGCAATATATGAGACAATATATAAGGTAAACTGATACAACCAAAAACACACAGAGATACTATTAAGAACAGACTAAACACTTAACGTAAATATGTATAGAAAAAAATCACAGGGACACAGGAAATATTATTTAAATTCAATAAAAGCCTGTTCTCTGTTGAGATACTGAGTGTGTTTTTAGAAGGGATTTAAAAGATGAAACCAATTTAGCTTGTCTAATTTCCTCAGGCAGGCCAATTGAAAGTACAGGCGTCCTAATATAGAAAGCGCAGTCTCCAACAAGTAGACACTACTAAGGAAAAATGACCAAATCAACAAAATCTGGCAGGCAAAAAGTGCTTATGAAGCCACGTAGAGGATGGAACAAAACAACATTGCAGACGTTATAGAGTCATGTCCAGTGGAATCAAGGCATTAGCTTTATAGAGAAAATGCATCAAGTATACCATGTTTAGAGGAGAGTTGGTCAAGATATTGATTAGTACTTGTGCTGAAAACATGAGAGTTGTGCATTACAGGATACAAAACCAGGTCAAACCTGGTTAACCAACAACCTTAAAATGTATGTAAGAGGTGAAATAAGAAAGTTTTGGCTTTTTGTATCTCCCCCTGCTTGGTGTTTCCTACCTGCCTGATAATGTTTTTTCCTGTTAGACTCGATCAAGCTGGAGCCGGAGTCACCTCCACAGTTTTCTGACTGTCCCGTGTTCTCCAAGCACCAGGACGATACGTCAGCGACAGCACTGAACATCGAGTGTCGCGTGTGTGGAGACAAAGCCTCTGGGTTTCACTACGGTGTCCATGCCTGTGAGGGCTGTAAGGTAGGACTGAAAAATATCATGATGCGTAAAGATGAAAATAAAATGTGTAAGCAAACCACATTCAAAATGTGGCCATTTACCAAACTGGGGGAGAATTTAAGGGTCATTTTGTCAGTGTTCTTTGTTGTAAGGAGAAAACTTATATGAGCCACACAACTGTGCTGGTTGAAGTATATGGGCACAGTGATTTATATTATAGTCAATCCATATACATTCATCTGCTACTAAAAAAAATATTCCCCAACAAATGCCTATTTCATATGCCTGAGTAAAAAAACACAATCTCCAGTTTTTTTTAAGGAAATTTTTCATTTATAACCTTTTCTTAAAAATGTTTGCATCTTTATTAGAAATAAATGGGCTTGTAGCAGCCACAGACAAGGTTGGGAAGTCTTCAAGTATTGGGAGAAGGACAAAAGCATTGGTCTGTCCATGGATTTGTTCAACAATCAGTAACACATTTGAACACCCAGCAAGCGCAGTCCATTCTACTTTAAAATCTAGAAACTTACATCCTCGTCTTCAGAGAGACTCTGAGTCTCTGCTGTCTGTGTGCTTTGGTTAGGCATTTACACATTCGGGGCTCTGCTGTCATATTTTTGTTCAATTTCCAAGAGGAAAGAAAATGGCCAAACCAGTTCTTCTAGAAAATCTGGCCATCAATGATTTGAAAAATGCTTATTATAGCTTAAATTGCAGTGCACAGTAGTGGAAAAAAACTGATTGCTGCCCCAAAAAAAAAGTAATGCTCAAGATCAAGAAGAAAAAAAAAATTGACAGCCGTACCACCTCAGAGTCAAACAGGAAATGGCAAAGGGTGTAACAATTTCTACTGTGAATCGTTTTGTTTCTCTGCCAGTCTTCCTTTTTCTGTCACTGTGTTTCACTCTTCGGCGAAACATGTTGGTGGAATAAATAATTTATAATGCATGGAGAGAAGTGTGCAGTGTTCTTTCATCTTTTTGATGTCTGTCACTTTAACCACAAGCCCCATACATTTTCCACTCTGCAAGTATTCAACAAAGGCTTGTGCTTCTACAGCCAGCCCCTTAAACCCTATATCTGTTTGTCAGTATAGAGTATAAATAACTAATAGAGTGTGGGTGAAGTTTCACACATATTTCCATTTTCTTTGAAATTTTGAGACATTATAAGAAGAGAGGAGCTATAAATTGTGACATTGTACTCCAAAGACATATGAGATGGATTTTCAGAAACAGCAGCACTTCTACGTATGCTTTTTTTTTGTATGTTTTGTTGTGTTCATTTGATTTTTTTAAGTTTCCGTGGGTCTGAATTTATTCCAGACAAATTAGTATAAAAAGCTACTGTGTTTCTGTCACATTCAGCACACCTCTGCAGTGTAAGAAAAGCTCACCCTAAGCCTAACCCTAAGACTTTTGGTAGATTTTGTTAGATTAGATGAATTTATATTAGAATAAAAAGTAATCTACCATTTGAAAACATGGATACCTCCTCCTCCTAACCTAAATTTTATTTAAGGATAGAATCACTTGTAAATTAAACATTTTTCTACTGAATTTTGGAATAAACAACCCACACTTTGATACCAAAACAGAAACTATGAAAGTAGAAATACCTGTATGATGCAACTCAATAAAATTACAATAGACCTGTAAATACTACATTTAAGAAATGTGTTGATGATACTAACAAGTACTTCCTGTGTAGCCAAAGGCTGGTATATCTTATTCGTTCATTGTTTCTTTATTACCTTGAACACGGATACCTGGTTTATTTCACATACATTATTTACTCCTGTTTGAGTAACAGCTTCTTAAAACTACAGTGCCCAGCATTTTTTCCCCTTTTAAAAATGAACGTATGTATTCGTGAGGGGGATTTCTGTATTTAGCAGGAATCAACCGTCTCGGGGCTGAGAGCCACAGAAAGGGAAGTCGGAAAGTATTGAGATACTTGTTAAGATGTTGACAATAAGTAAAATACAAAATATCAGCCTTATCTTTTAAAATGCTACACTTTCTGTTAAGATTACTGGTTTTTGTTGTTTGTGTGTGGACTCAGTTATATGATACATTTTTTTAAGCTTTACACTGTGGTGGTATTGTAATGGACTACATTATGGACTGCGTTTATAATATTTCAACAACCTTATTTAGACAACAAAAGTATTAGAAATGACTCACAGTGTAATACAATAAAATGCAACATTACCAACTAACTACAGCCTTAGAGTTAAATCAGCACCACTCTGACACTGTGAGGACTGGTTAAATTTACTACAAGGTTCAAGGGTTTCTGTTTTTCCATTCACTTAGTTTAAGTCATACTGTACCTTCAGAGGCTGAATGAAGGTAAGGTACAGTAGTCATTGTTCTGCTGAAGTCTCAGGGGAGACTCACCAGAAGAGGGGGTCAGCCAAGCAGGCAAACACCTAATTGTTTCAAAACAGAAAACATTCTTTATTGAGGTGGAGTCTTGACCCCCTTTAACTTCCTCTTTCTTTAAATAACCTACGATTAAAAAAAGGAACATCTGTGGATCACAGGAATGCAGATGCCAAACACACCGGTGTTCATACAGAGTCCAGATGTGGATTTGTATTCTTTCAAAAAAAACAAACTCAAATACAATTCTCCTCATAAAAGCTTACAGCCTTCAGGTTATTCATTCCGTGTCTTTTCTGCTCTCTTCAGTTCATCTTTCTATTAGCTTTCTTAGTCATCAGAGACAAACACCACAGCCATCAACAAACCCGTGACTGCGCGTAGGAGTGTATGTTGGGAGTTTGACCATGGTTGCATAGTTAATAGCTAAGATAAGCGTAAATCTTATGGCTCCTTTGGTCCTAAGGTTGAAAGACATCAAAGCACAAATCCACCCTGAAATACAATCTACTTTTAAATGCGCTCGTGGGCAGTATGATTGACTTCCTCACAGATTAGAAAGACCCAGGTATCTAATCTGCATTTATCAGTCAATAGATGCTGTATGGAGCTACTCCACCAACAACAAACTTGAGTCAGATGATGAATAATAAAGTAAAAATAACAGGATAATAGAATAAAAAAAAATGTTGTGCTTTTCACGAAAAAAAGGATCTTAATTATAATCATGACGTAATCATTTCCAATTTCATTGTTCTCTTTCTCTGTCTCAACTATAATACAGATGAGGCTGTATTTATAAGGCTCATACAAGAATTTTTTTTAAAGTCTACCAACACCAATAGTTCCTAAGAAAACATTAAAACACATGTTTCCTGCAACTGTGACAGAAATCTTTCAATTCTGAGTAAAGAAGCAGAATAGCATTGTAGAGGTATTCAAAAAAGATGGCTGTTGTGACAATATCTGAAGTAATTGTCCCTCTCTGTCATTCTTTCTTTATAGGGTTTCTTCAGACGCACAATCAGGTTAAAGTTGGTGTACGATCACTGCGATCTTCACTGTCGCATTCACAAGAAGTCCCGCAACAAATGCCAATACTGCCGCTTCCAGAAGTGCCTCAATGTAGGCATGTCACACAACGGTAAGATGGTGATACTGTCCTACACACCTTTTAGTCTACAATCACACCATGTATGATGTAAAGATACACTTACGTATGATATTGGAACATTTACAGTTAAGCCATGAAAAGCTTAACTACATACACAGACTATACAGACAGTAACAGAAGTCAAAGCGTCGGTGCATTTAGGTGTTTTCGTTTTTATGCTCTCTATAAATAGGCAGACACAGGTTAAAAGAGTGATTCTTTGAAATTGCGGGCCAGGAAATGCCTCTTTGCAGAGTCTTCTGCCTCAGATGCCCACTGAAGAAGAAAATACATCTTCCCCGCACTGCTGCCAATTTGGTCTTTGAGGTGTGGTGGTAATAATGCAGCAATGTACACCAGTGCCTTATATGTTGCCAGTTGCTTCCTCTGTGGTCTTTGGCCTGTATCACAACCTTTGGGTCATGCTTCAGTTCTCATTACTCTTGCAGTATACTTCTACGACTACTACTGATTCAAAGATGAAATTGTGGTTGAAAGCTAAATTAAACACTCGCTTCCAAGGTCAAAAAGCAGTAGCTATGCTGATATTTGATTTCTGACTGGTTTTCTTTGCTTGGAGACATTTTAACTGTGCACAAAAATGTGGTTTAGCAACCCCATGAATGCAGCCGTAGATGCTTTGTCAGTTTTACTGCTGTTTGAATGTATGCAGAGTTATGGATTGCAGTGTTAATCGCACAAGAGGTTTGCTCATTGTTTACGGTATGCTTACAAATCAGTGATGTAAGTGGACCGCTTTGTGTTGTACACAGCTGTCATCAAAAATGTTCATTGTGCTGCATTCATGGGCTAGTCAAAAATGTCAGAATTACGACCAATATAAAAAGGACATATGACAGAAATGATCCCAGAGTCCCAAAGTTTCTGATTTTTATGAGCAGACAATAATGAAAGCTATTTTAAATTGAAAATGTTTTACATTTTAAAAAAAATTAGCTTGTTGTAAATACAGAATTTGCTACCATTGTCAGCTTACAATTTACAACCAAATCAAATGAAATGAGCAAATCCACATGTGCAGGCCTTGCACCCACACAGGTGTTGACACCTACGAATGCCAAGTCAGGGTAGAAACGTACCGCTGCAAAGCTGCCGACACCTCCCACACTCAGCCGCCTCTGGGCTGATCAATTTGTGCTGGCAATACAAATGCAGTTTACTGCTGTGTCTGCTGTTGTTGCTGATGTGTCTGCTGTTGTTGCTGATCCCAGGCATGTTTAATACTTTAATACATAGTGGTAACATAGTTCATTTATTTTTCGCACCACCTGCGATCTGCCACACATTCTGTCTCTCTTCCTCTGGTTTGTCAGTAGAGTTAGCCACTGAAACACAAGGTGAAAGCTATCAGCCGACGGCACCTCACAAGCTCCACAACAGAAGTACAATATCTAGAGAAATCATGAACAATAATGCAATTCTTTCTCCAATGAAACATCTTTGCCCTCACTCGTGACTGTTCAGATGTAGAATGGTTTGGTTGATTGCCCTTTGTTGTTTCAAGCCTGATCTTACATCACATGCAGACTTCCCCAGGTAAGTTTCAGTGTCTCATGACTGTGTGGGCGTGGACAGGTTGTGCTTGATTGACATCTCCCTGAATTGCCTGTTAGTTTTGTTGCACCTGTCGGGGTAGGACAACTTACAGCTTTCACTTACAAACTACAAACTTTAGAATATCAGAATATTCTCAGCATAGTTTTGCACACCTTGAGTCTTAAAGTCACATTTGGCTTTCGTCCAAAAAAAGTGCCTCCCACTCTGCGCTACAGAAGGGTGAACAATCGTAGTGTATCACAGTTTCTATTGGCTGGCTGATGCATTGAATTGTACATTAAGGTTAGTGAGAGATAAAGGAATTATTTGCAGAGATAAGTACAAGTGTGATGTGGTCATTTTGGGCTGGTGAAATATTCTCGCGCGTGAGCAGTGGTAAATCCCATCCTCTTTCTCAAATCCAGTTGGCACAACACTGGAGAGTCTAGTAGTTTTTTTTAACTTGGGAAAGAGCAAGAGGTAGGGCCAATACACATCTAGAAGCAAATTTGTCTCTCCCTGCTCCCCATTGAAATGAAAGGAGAGTTTAGAGCACTTAAGAAACACTTAAGAGGTATATAATAATTGAAAACAGGGCCACCTGTGGTGAAGATGCCATCTGTACAGTATCTACTACCTCTATAACAGACAGTAGTTTAAATCTGTAGTAGGGATGGCTCAATATCATAAACAACTAAGTTGTTCATAATGCATTTGTATGGATGCACTTCAGTTGACCTTGCCATCAAAAAAAACAATCCAAACCATCTTTACTCCACTGAATGAAGAGGTACATTGCCCACAATATTACTTAGTTATTCTCAGCTCAATAGCGCTGCTTCTTTTTATTTGGATTTTTTCACACACAGAACTTTTAGCAACATTTTTGATTGGTCAGCAGCAATTCAAATAAAATGAAATTTAAATAAATTGCATAAATGCATACATTTCAATCAACTGCTGACAAGTCTCACTCAGATTCTAGCTACTGTCCACAGGGCACATGCTGCTCATCTGTGTCTTCTCGCTTTACGGAATGTCACTTCAAGTTCAAAGTGAGCATTAGCTGAGATTTTGAACACTTACGATCGCTGATTAGTAGAGTCGCACTGTTGAGCTCGGTTTTGGCACTGTGGCATTGTTTGCAGAAACTCATCTACATGCCATGGACACTACCTTTATTGTACCATTGTGGGAATTTTGTAGCTTGGGCTTAATGAAGACGTTGGCATTGCTGTTTGAGTTGGTTGAGGGACTTTAAGGCTCTGTGTTATGCATTGAATTCTTTCAGCTAAAGTGAGCTTACCTTTTTTTTTGTCTCAGAAGATTTTGCCTTTTTCAGTTTGTATATGTCTTTTAAGTTTGCCCAACAGCAAAACTGCTTTATATTTACAGCATGCTTCTGGCATCTACTATAATTAGTTTGTTTCTCCTCTCCTGCCACTTTGCCTCTGTCCCTCTTCCTGCCTCGTCCTTCCCTCATATCACTCTACTGTTATTTAATGAGGCACAGCCTATGCTTTGCAAATCGGCCCTGTGTGGGTTTTTGTTTGATCAATGATTGACATCTCAGAGTACATAGACCTCAACTGATTTCTCCAACCTGCTGTGTCACTGCTGCTGGCTCGTTGCCAGTTGGTGGTAGGGCCACTTTAGTTTGTATTCATTTGCTTAAGGCGTGCATTCATCACACAGTCAGCATTACACAATCACGTACATAGTGCAGTAAATGCAGAGCACAGATTTGAATAGAGGGATAATGAATGAATTCCGCTAATAGAAAAAATCAGATTTAACCATTTCTCAACTCAGCATCAAATTTCAGTGAGATTTCAAAGGCCATTTTCACCGCATTCGGCATAAAATCTAGAAAATATGTCTTTTATCACAGGGTCCATTGCGAGTTTTGCAACCACCCTAGTTTCTCCTACAATAAAAGGAATAGAAGGGTGAGGCGAGGAAGCAATCCTCAAATACACTGCTAGATACTATTAAATCCCACACACTGGTCCGTTAAAGGAAAATAAATTTGTAATTGCTTCATGAGACACACCTCGTAAAACCACAGGAGGAACATTTGTTATGTGTGGTTGCCAATTTTTCCATTCATGATGGTATGAGCTATGTGACTCATTTGTAGTCCAGAAATCCATAGATATTCAGTTTATATTCAGTTTTGCTAAAATTATTTAAATTGTTGCACACTATGACAGTTTTTTCTTTGTTGTTGACCTTAAGAAATTTCACAATAGATGGACTGTACGTTTAATGTTTTGTGTGTATCATGTACATGCATATATATATATATATATACCTGTGTGTGTTTGTCTGTATGGGTATTCTTACTTACAGTATGCTTCTGTATGTGCTCTTACATACTGTATCTGCCTGCCTGCCAATCTGTGCCTATTCGCTATGCACTAATGTGTGTTTCTGTCTGTCTGTTTCCTTTCCCAGCCATTCGTTTTGGCCGGATGCCCCAGGCAGAGAAGGAGAAACTGCTGGCTGAGTTCTCGTCTGACATGGAGCACATGCACCCGGAGGCAGCAGATCTAAGGGCTCTGTCCCGGCATCTGTACGAGGCCTATCTGAAATACTTCCCCCTCACCAAGGCCAAGGCCAGGGCCATCCTCTCTGGGAAGACCGGAGATAATGCAGTAAGCAGCACTCTCTTAATTCTACTTTACTTTTATATATTTGTATATATAATGGGGGAGAGTGATACATATTGTCTACATAAGCTAAAAACATATTATTGAATTTTCTGCTAGGTATGAGCAGCTTGAGTTTGTGGTGAAGGCGTAGGCAACATTGTCCTTTTTTTACAGATTACATTTACATATAAACTGTAGCTGTTATAGATTATATTCACATGATACTGTATGTACTGTATGTCCAGAATAATTGAGACCAATCTGAGCTGCTGGACCAGTTGCTCCGTCCCTGTCCACCCTTTCTCCCTAATTGAGATATATAGTGCAGATCTGACCTATATTTTTTATGTTTTTTATGAATCCCACTCTGAGCAATATCACACGCAACCCAACAGCACATATTGTACATTTATACTTAAGCATAACCAATAATGATGATACAAAGCAGAGCTGAGGCTGAGCAAAAACATTTTCTACCAAACTCCAATATATGACATAAAAAAGCCTTATTAACTATGAGAAATCTCTGTATCTTCACTTACACATGCATTTATATCACAGATTGAACATTCAACATTTTCTCCCCTGTGCAGTCTAGAGTTTTAAATAAAACAAGCAGTTGTTTAGGAAAAAAAACAATAGTAAACAAATACACTGAAGGAGTGTAGAAGCTTTGATCTTAAAGTATTTTAAACTTTTCAACTCACTTCATGCGTTAACATTTTTGCCAGCATTGTCTTCATGTTACCTTGCTCAGTTTAGCTCAGATGGGGCTTTTATTGCTGCTCTAACAGGAAAAGTGGATTGACTAGTTTCTACATGTCTTGGCTGTTATAAAACATATCAGATTACAGTGGTCAAGCTGTGCAATAGGAGAACATGGTTGCTCAGCACTCTGATGTACAGTAATGGCTTCAACATTCTTACTCAAAATGTCAAACTAATTTGGTAAGACATTTGGCAATTTATACAAGTGGACTGTAGGAAAATGTGTTGGCCAAAATGTGAGATATCATCTATTTCTGTGTTTTTGTACTTAAGAATTTGAGATATTGAATCTCAGTATTCAAAAGAGACTTAATCAGGAAATCCACATCAATTAAACTACAACTGGCAAACAAAATAAAACTGTGGTATGCCATACTGTGTGTATATATGCATACATACATATATATATAAAATAAATATAGGCCAGGGGGCTGGACACTACCAGGGATTCTAGCCTGCAGCCCCCTCTCTCTCTCCCCACTTTCCTGTCTCTGTGCAGCTGCTACTATCAAATATAGGCAATGAAAGCCACACAAAAATGGCTTGAACAACTGAACCTGTCACTGAATGTCTGTGAATTACTGCAAATGGCCAAAATCAAACCGAAGCACATGGATCAAGCACATAATTAAATCATAGTGTTGTTTTAAATATTGTACGGTAAATAATGGAATAATACCAGTTACAGTTCTTGCGTTCAATAGTAATTACTATTATGATTATTATTATGATTATTATTATTACTGTTGTTGTTTAATTAGACTCTGTAACAGAGAATTAACTGTACGAGCAGAGCCTTTTCTATTACTCCTCTCTCTGTAAAGTCAGATGAGTTCAAGGCTGCTCCACATCTCTTTCGTCTGATTGTTATGACTGTTCATCACAGTGATAGCGGCCACATGGCACTGAATCATTGAGAGTCTTGGGTTATTTACTAAACCACAGCAAACCTTCTGAAAGAAACAGGGAGACAATGATTTTATCTTTTGTACAATGTTTACATTTTCTAACATGCAAGACCTTGATATGAATGCACTGAACTTCCTTATAAACCTTTATATATTGTAGAATTATAGTTCCTGCACAGGCAGTCCGTAAACAAGAAAAACACAATTCCACAATCCATAGTCTTTAATTCACTCACATAAGAAATTATTTTTCATTTTATAACATTTGATTTGATAAATGCTTGCTGTCATTATTCATGTTACACTGTAAAAAAGGAAGATTTAAGTTTGTGAATGGTACCATTCATCATTCAGGCCAGTGCGTGTCTTTGCAAGTGTTTTAACAGTAAGGGCGACTTTAACTCAGTTAAGCTTCATTTACCTGGAAATGGTGTTTTTGTCTGCCCCAGCCTCCAGCTAAGATTTATTTACTTGGAAAATCAGACATATGAGAGTTATGGTGTTTGCTTTTGCAGGTCTGATGAATTAGCAAAGTGCATACACAGTATATGTGATTATATCTGTAGCTCTCATGTCCTCAGAAGACCTATGTGGAGCTGACATCTCTCTTCATCTCTTTTCTTTCTTCTGTTTTCTCTCCTACTCCTACAAATCTCTCTTCTTCCATATTCTTTCTTCTCTACCTGCAGCCATTTGTCATCCATGACATGAAGTCTCTAATGGAAGGAGAGCAGTTTATTAATTGTAAGCAGATACCCACCCAGGAGCACCAGCCGCAGACGTCTGCCCTATCAGTCGGACATGGAGGTTAGAAGCACAAAATACTGTTTGTCATGATGTTTTATTGTTTTCTTTGTCATTTTTATTTGTCAACCAACTGATATAAACACAATGTTGTTATATCAGTCACCAATAAAGAAACACATTTTTATTCTCCTTTTAAAATCAGGCACTTGCATGTCGTGCTTGTTGTCATGTCATAATGTTATCTTCCTTTCTTACCTTACTTGAGCTTCCTCACCACGTATGTTTTTTCTATACACATCCCATCTGATTTCAGGTCTCATGGGAGCTCACCTGGGGTCAGAGTGTAACATTTTGGATGCTGTGGAGCTGCGTTTCTTCCATAGCTGTCAGTCACGTTCGGCTGAAGCAGTGAGAGAAGTGACAGAGTTCGCCAAGAGTATACCAGGATTCATCAACCTGGATCTAAATGATCAGGTGAGAGGCACGAATACTGCTGCTTGTCCATTCTGACACTCAAATCTCGATGCACCATCAGTCACTTCAGTTTCGTCGTCAATGATTTTGTTGGTCACTAGTATAGAGGTTAACAATTACTAACTATCCATCGAAGATCTAATTAACATCAGCTCTTCACTCCAACCCTTTACCCTTTTCCCAGGTAACTTTGCTGAAGTATGGTGTGATTGAGGTCTTAATTATCATGATGGCGCCTCTGATGAACAAAGACGGAACCCTCATCGCCTACGGACAGATCTTCATGACGCGGGAGTTCCTCAAGAGTCTCAGGAAACCCTTTTGTCAAATGATGGAACCAAAGTTTGAGTTCTCAGTCAAGTTCAATACGCTGGAACTGGACGACAGCGACATGGCGCTGTTTCTGGCTGTCATTATCCTTAGCGGGGGTGAGTGTGTTTTTGTTGTAGATGTCATTGATTATTGTAGCCAAGGAGGGGTAGTCTTAAAGGGATCATCTGATACCACTCTCCTGCACTCTCAAGGCACAGGGCGAAACATTTAGCCTCGCTCTGTCCAAGAAATAGTCTGACACAAAACCCCCAATAAAACACTCCAGTTTCTGTATGGATTAAACAAACAAGATATATGTTTTGAGCTTTAGAGTTAAGCTGGCCATCTTTTGGCTCCAGCTTTAAATTGAACGGTAATGTATAATGAAATGTAATGAAATGTGAGCGTGGTATCAATGTTCTCCTTTTGAAGAAAGCAAATAAACATATTTTAAAAAATTCACAACAATTTCTTTTAAAAAATCCTTGTATAATATATTTAAATAAGTTACTGTAAGCAATCAAGGTTTCTAAAAAGATTTCATGATCTTGATTTTTTTCTGGCAGACCCTATTTAGTTCACTGTGAATATAAAGTGTTGTAAAGTGGCTTATCAATCCACTGCATTATACACGCTATGTATAACATGCCTTGACCCATTTATCAGTTTGCCGTGAGACACAGGATATTACTGCTGACGGGGGGTTTTTTTCTCACGCACTCCCATATTAAAACCCAAACTGTGTGGTCTAATATTGCTGGTTTGCATGTGGCTACTTGATAAAAGTCTAGCCTTGACCTGATGAGGATTCAAATCAGGCATTTTAAGTCAATAATTAACTTGAATGACTAAGATTATAGCTTGAAATGAAGATAAGAAGGCTTTTGTAAATTGCAATAATATATCTAGGTCTCGTAATAAAGGCCAACTAAATTAAGGGATTTTTTAGCCAATAGATATGAAACGTCATTGAAGTTAATATTAAATAAATAAACACATAAATTAATACGGCTATGAAATAAATCCTGAACAATATAAATGATTCATAGTTATAAATTAATGGGTTTTATGTTTAAAAAAGGAAGTTTTTAATAGACTAATCTTATATATTAGGGCACTCTCATTTCCTTATGCCATATTTATTTCCCAGCCCCATTTATTTCCATCTTTTATATTCAAATGAATGGGGCATGGTTATCTTATAGATTCAGAGATCTGAGACCGATGGAGGCCAGTTTGACGACAGGAAATGCAGTACTATTCATGCTGAGTGTAGCTCCTGGCACTCCTAGCATCCTTCTCTGCCTTGAGTTTCCTGATGGACTGATAGCTTTACTTGTTGATAAAGTAACCGCTTACTGTAGCCCAGTTAGACCTGCTACTGATTCTGGTTCTTCAATCCAATTTTCACCTCCCTCCTCTTTCTGTATATTTTTCCTCTCTTGTGGACCCATACATCTCTCCATGGACACCCTTACCAGAAATTTCACTGATTTATCCTCCTTTTTCTGTCACACATCCAGACCGTCCAGGCCTACTGAACGTGAAGCCCATTGAACAGCTTCAGGAGACGGTTCTTCATGCGCTGGAGCTGCAGCTGAAACTAAACCACCCAGACTCTCTGCAACTGTTTGCCAAGCTGCTACAGAAAATGACCGACCTGCGTCAGATCGTCACCGACCACGTCCACCTCATCCAGCTGCTGAAGAAGACGGAGGTGGACATGTGCTTACACCCACTGCTGCAGGAGATCATGAAGGACTTGTATTAGAACTTAACAGGAGAAAAGGACAAGTAAAGAAAAGTTGAAAGAGAGAATAAAGAGATTTTATTTTTGAAATCATGACTTTGAAAATTAGAAAAGTAAGCACTTTGTGCTGCGGTTGTGTGGAAAAAAAAGGGAGGTAGCCAGACAGGCTGACTGAAAATGAGAAAGAGATGGGGAGGAACAGGAAAAGAGAAATCAAGGAAAGAAAGACAGAATGTGAGTGTTAGATCTTGTCTAGACAGCAGCATGTGAATAACTTGTGATGCACAGTCATTAAGCCACTGCTGAGGCTGGCCATTTTGTGAATGAGTAGGCTGCCACTTAATATGAAACTACCACCTATGGCACCAATCAGCACGAGTGTCTATGACTAACTGAAAGAGAGGGGACTTTCTTATTGGCAAGATGAAGCTTAAAATCGTGAGCGCTCAACACAGTGAGCTTCATGTGCCATGAGGAGAAATATATTACTGTGAATATTTTACGCCATGTGTCTCACAGTACAGTATGTGTTGTTCATGTGCAGCTTATCTACACGTTGCGTTACAACCGTCATAGGCAGCAGCATATCTTTGTGAACACGCACAAATGCATGAATACACAACACACACACACACACACCACACACACACACAACAATGAACATTTTCTGTTTTGGCATCAGGGTGAAGGTGCTATCTCTTTTTAATCAGCTTTAGCCAAAGTCAGAAATCAGATTATTGCCTGTAGCATATTTTAGTGTCAGTCACCTGCAGAAACTGTGAGAAAGTGTGAAGCCAGCAAAAGGCACATTACCATGAAGATGTCAGCTCTTTGTTGAAAATGAAACAGTATATGCCATATTGTGCCTTTAAGAGCTGATATTTTTTTTTTTTGTGGAATTAATGCCATTTAAAAAACCTTAAATATATTACACATGTATAATATATATTCATATATATTATTTTTATATGGATATATGGCTTTCAGCCTTAGTTTTATTTCAAATTCTTAAAAAGTAGCTGCATTTTACTATGAAATTATTGTGTATATATGCAAAGTGTGATCTGTCTGATCAATCAGATGGGGGTTTTGGGAGGGCACGGGGGCGTCTGTCAAATGGATTTGTATTAATTGTGTGTGTGGCAGGGGTGGGGGTGGGGGGGTCTGTT